AGATCGAACGGGGGAGCAGTGCAGGCTATTCACTTGGGACATGTGTTCCAGCTGAGCAGACGGAGCACAAAGATGCCAAGCCTGCGCCAGGGGCCTGGCGTGCTCCTCTGCCAGCGTCCAGTTGCGTACATGCCCACAGGGCACTCTCCCCACCTACCCCTCCTCCTCCTCTCTCTCTCTCTCACACACACAACATGCCTTTTTAGAAAATCAAAGACTTTATAATTCGAAAATAACTGTTATTCTTCTGGTATTCAGAAGAATCTATTAGAAGTATTCACTATTATGGTACTGATCAGCAGTGCGCCTGGGAGGGGCTATAAGACCATGTGAAATACAGCACAGGTTTGCGGTCCACACCCCCAAAGCCAGCCCAATCCAGAGCTCACTGCCCACGGGCAGGATGGCATGGCTTCCCTGCCCGCTCCTTCATGAGAAGCCTGCCGTGAGAAGCACAGGCCCTGTGCTGCTGTCAGCTGCCCGGCTCAGGGGCTTGAGCATGTGAGGACATGGTCAGTCAGTGGGCATCCCCAGCTGGGCCTGCAGGACTGTCCCTCCTCTGAGCTCAAGGTCCATGTTGGGAGTTCATTGTTTCTAGACCTTCTACCCATGTGGTTGAGCCCTGGTGGCACAGTAGTTATGGACTCGGCTGCTAAGGGAAAGGTTGGTGGTTCAAACCCACCCACAGACCTGGCCATCTGCTCCCACCGAGATGACAGACAAGCCCTCCAGGCAGCTTTACTCGGTCACAGGCATTTGCTGTGAGTCGGATGGACTCTAAGCACAGGACAATGAAACGGCTCTGTCCCCATCTAGCAATGGGGAATTCCATGGAAACCAGCCGTGGTGCACACTGAGCACAGACAATGGCAACGGGACCCCTGACAAGCTCCGGAGTGCAAGAGAGCTCACCACCAAGGCGCCACCACGGAACAGCTGCCTACCTCCCAGCAGATGGGGATGGAGGCCGCCAGATGGCAAGGCAGCCCCATGCAGGGCCGCTCTCCGAGGCCTGGCTGGGAGGAGCCCTGCCAGCCCCTTTCTGTCCCTGCTTCTCCAAGTGTTTTTGAATAGATGGCATTCAATGAGGATAAACAATATGACACTGGTAGCTGGGGTGGCCGCAAGGGGGACTACACATCTGTAAAATGAAGAAGGGGTCATGCCCTCCACCCCGCGAAGAGGTAGCTGTGGACTGACAGCAAAACCTAAAATCTGGTAATAAAAAATCTGTTCCTATCACTGTCTCCCCAAGTCAAGGCTGAGCCAGTTAGAGAGGCCCCCAGATAAGTTGGACTCCTTCATTGTAAACCTCTCTATCCACAGTTTAAGGGACATTTCTACTTTCTACCTACAATCTAAGGGACACTTTCACTCTCTATCGGCAGTCTAAGGGACACTTCTCTTTTTTTATCATTTTATTGGGGGCTCATACAACTCATCACAATCCAGACATCCAGCCATTGTGTCAAGCACATTTGTACATGTGTTGCCATCATCATTCTCAAAACATTTGCTTTCTACCTGAGCCCTTGATATCAACTCCTCATTTTCCCCCCTCCCTCCCCCCCTCTCCCTCATGAACCCTTCATAATTCATAAATTATTATTATTTTGTCATATATTACACTGTCCTACATCTCCCTTCACCCACTTTTCTGTTGTACATCCCCCAGGGAGGAGGTTATATGTAGATCCTTGTAATCAGTTCCCCCTTTCCACCCCACCCTCCTTCCACCCTCCCGGTATTGCCACTCACACCACTGGTCCTGAAGGTATCATCTGCCCTGGATTCCCTGTGTTTCCAGTTGCTATCTGTACCAGTGTACATCCTCTGGTCTAGCCGGATTTGTAAGGTACAATTGGGATCATGACAGTCGTGGATGGGGGGGCGGTAAAGAAGCATTTAGGAACTAGAGGAAAGGTGTATGTTTCATCGTTGCTACACTGCACCCTGACTGGCTTGTTTCCTCCCCGTGACCCTTCTGTAAGGGGAGGTCCAGTTACCTACAGATGGGTCTTGGGTCCCCAATCTGCACTCCCCCTCATTCACAATGATTTGATGTTTTGTTCTTTGATGTCTGATACCTGATCTTAGGGGACATTTCTACTCTCTATCTACAATCTAAGGGGCACGTCTACTCTGTTGTATAGTGCTGGGGGATCTACGAAGGTAAGTCAAAAACTATGGCAACAAGGAACCCCAGTGGTGAAGTGGTTATGGGTTGGGCTGCGATCCACACGGTCGGCAGTTCCAAACCTCCAGCAGCTCTGTGGGAGAAAGACTGGGCTTTCTACTCCCATGAACAGTTACAGTCTGGGCCACTCACTGGGGGTCGCTATGAGTCGGCACCAACTCGATGGCAGCGAGCCCAGGGTTCCAGTTATACCTGTGCAGACTTGCTCCAAACCATGCGTTTCAGCAGGTCCTGCGACGAGTGCGTGGTGGCTGCAGACACGCCCTCGCAGTCACACAGGCCTTCATCTCTTGACAAGGCACCTGCTCCTTCTCCGAGGGTACCAAAGGCTGTCCTAGAAGATTATCATTGGGAGCTCTCACCCCATCCACCTCCCAGGCTGATCTTGGGCCTTCAGGCTTCTTTTTGTTCCCCAAACTCGAAGAACGTTGAGAAGGAACCTGACTTGAGTCTCCCGAGGATGTCCAACCACTGTGTTGATGTGCTCCATAATGGAACGGTTGGGAAATCTTCAGGGAAGTGTAGAGAGATGGGAAGGCGGGCTTCAGAAGCGCATAGACCTGGGTGGAGACTGCCACGAAACACTAGCTTCAAGTTTTGATCCTTTGATTTGAATAAAGGTTCTTGTGGTTTCATGACAGAACTTTTTACGCAACCCTCTCATTTTCAACACTTAACTTTGTTTTTCTTTTTAACTCCATGTTATTGCTCAAGGAACTACCCAGATTGTTGGATCAGCCAGAGCCATTGTTACAGGTGAATATGACATCTCATCAAAATGCGACCTGGGTCTTTGCAATGGTCGAACTTTCTAGAACTCCACTGGGCAATACATCTCTCTGCAGGACTGCTGAGGACAAAAGCAGGCTACAACAGGCTGCTGCCTGATAGAAAAATGAGCATTTGAAAATCCGTGAACTGAGAAATCGCTCCAGGAAACAGGCAGGGAGTGGCAGCTTCAGGAGAAGATGAAATGTGACCGGCTGGAGCGTCCTCTCCTGAAAAATTTTTTTAAAGGTTGCTTTTTTTTTTTAAAGTTCAGAAGGTATGCCTGAGGAGAATAGTGTTTGGAAGACTTTGAGGGCAGCCCGCTGTCCTGGCTTTGTCCTTGTTCCCTGAGAGCCGCACACCTCCCAGGTGCTCCCACCTTCTGCCAGGTGCTCCCTCCCCCTGGCTTTACCTCCGGCATCAGAATCCAGATGTCTCTGGATTCTTCCTCCAGTGAGGTTACTTGGCCGCCAGGAGGTTGGCCCATTCCCCTCTGGGTTTCGGGGGGACCTCGGTCAGCAGCATGGGCATCCTGCAGAAGCTTGTCTCCCCCCCCCCCTCCAAACACATTGCATTAGAACCCAAGTTTTCACAAGCTCATCAGGAGTCCTGGTGGCGCAGTGATTAAGCACTTGGCTGCGAAGGTGGTTCAGACCCACCCAGGGGTTCTGCAGGCGAAAAGACCCAGCGATGACTCCGGTGAAGACGGTTAGGATGTGTGCCACCTACTGGGACACTTTAGGACAGGGTAGAGCTGGGGTTTCCTTGGCTGACATCTTCATGGGGCCAGATCACCTGGTCTGGTCTCCTAAGGAGCCACTGGGGGATTCGAACTGCCAGCCTTCTGATTTGTAGCTGAGCATTAACCATTGTGCCACCGGGCGCCTTCCCTTAAAGATTTCAACCTAGAAAACCACCCCACAGGGCAGGCTCCCTCTGTGGTGTAGAGTTGGATGGGAGTCGAATCAACAGCGATGACCACAGCCTCCAGGTGGTCCTCTCTGTTAAGCAGCGACCCCAGTGGTAAGGTCGTGCAGGAAATCAGTCAAGAACAAGACCCAATGCGGCCACAGATATGGGCACACAGTGGCCCCCCCATGAGCGTCGTCATGCAATTCCCTCTGAAACCCGCCGCCCTTCTCGGCAGCTGGGCGTGGTCCCAAAGGGCAGAGAAGGTGTCTCCCGGTGTGAGGGGGGAGTGGAGGTGTGAGGGCAGCAAGGAACTGGGACCCCTGTGAGCCCACTGCCCAGCCAAGAGGTAACACAACAGGCCCGTGCAGGGGCTCCGTCTTGGGCTGAGGGAGCAGAGGAGAAAACTAATGGGACGAACAGGGCATAAGGGATGGGAGGGGGGCACAGATAGCAAATATTTTGTGCCCCAGCAAAAACCTCATAGGAAATTATCAGCCACAGCGCCACCAGGGCCATTCTGACTCACGGCGCCCCCAAAGTGTCGGAGTAGAACTTCGAGCTGCAGGATTTGCAGTAACTGGTAGGGGGCCAACGTGGCATAGTGGGTACGCATCGCTCTGCTTACCGCAAGGTCAGCAGTTCTAACCTACCAGTGGATCCATGGGAGAAAGATTTACAGCCTCAGAAAACCACAGGGGCCGTTCTACTCTGTCAAATGAGTCAGAACTGATTCAATGACAGTGAGTTTGGAAGGTTCCGTTTTAAAGCGTTTTTGGAGGCGATAGTCGAGCCTTTCTTCTGAGGAGCCTTGGTGTGGGCTTGAACCTGCAACCCTTCCATGAGCAGCCTAAGCAACCCAGTGTGACCTGATGGCCCCGCCTGTGGGGTCCACACAGAGGAGCCGTGGTGGACGTGTTGTCATGGAGCTCAGTCCGACTTGTGGTGACGCCGCTGGACAGAGGGAAACAGCTCCATTGGGGGCTTCCAGGCTATGGGTTTTCAGAGACCAAATTCTAAGCCCCCCGGGGAAACCTGCAACATGGCACCCATTCTAAAGGGAAGCACAAAACCAAACCTGTCCATGATGATAATAGGCTTCTTACACTTTGTTTAAATACGAATTTAATGAAAGAGGAAGTGACAACGGGGTGGTGGAGGGGCCTCCTGTTTTTGGAAACCATATTTAACACATGGGCGACAAGGCGACCGGCAGAAGGGCTTCGGGTTCTTTACTCCGCGGTCGCGTCACCTACCTTTCCAAGTGGGGGGTGGGGGGAGGGCGCGCTGTAGGCAGATCCTGCTCGGCACCGCCTCCTGGCAACACGACCACGTGCAAATACACGAATAGATCGTGCATGCGAGCTGGTTTCCGGAAATGCTATGGAGTGCGCACGCGCTGCCCTGAGATCCAGCCTCTCTGGGTCTGGTCGCGAGTGCAGTACCTTCCCGGGGCCCAGCGTCCCGAGCGAGGGCCAGAGCCCCCCGGAACCAAGCTAGGCCTTCTTCTCCGTGGGGCTCCCGGCGCCTGTTTTCTTCCCAGTGGCCATGGCAGCGTTGGGGGGCTGCTGCGCTCTGCTTTTCCCCAGCACGCTGGGCTTCTTGGGTTTCTGGCTGTTGTGTTGAAGCGCCTTCAGCCCCAGCATCTTACAGTACTTGTTACACTGGTGCAGGGCCTTGAACTGGTCGATGAAGGACATACAACAGTTGCCTTTGAATCCTTTGTACCTGCAGAAGGAAACAGCGTGTTCATTTGGGCCCTAGGCAGCTTTCAAGGAAAACCCTGGGGTTGGGGGATGGGGGTGGAGGGTGGGGTGTTCATGGCGCGCTGAGAACCTCTGGACTCCACCGGGGCGCCTCTGCGCACCAGAGACAGCGTGTTGCATTTCTGCAAGGATGCGCCTGACATGCAAATCCCACGGGACAAGCCACCTGGCGACTGCAGGGATACGCACTAGGCGGCCGCCCCACACCATCCTCCACACCGCCCAGAGGGGGTCCCCTAGGAGACAGGTCACGCCAGCACCGTCTCAAACTCCACTGCCGTTTGGACAAATACAGGCTCCTTTAGGACCCCTGCCAGCACCCAGCGCTGCCGCCCCGTCTAACCTGACTTGTGTGGAGTCCGGTCCGCCACCCCACCCGCACACCATAGAGCCCTGGATGGGCACACTCCAGGCACGCGTCACACTCGCAGCTTCCGGTGTGTCAGCAGGGCGGGTTATCAGGCTAACGTCTGTTTCTCCATAGACTGTCAACCCCGTGAGGGGGACCCATCATCTCCCGCTCACTGTTGTGTCCCCAACACCTCGCCCAGCGCTAAGAAGATTGCGCCCCAGACCCACTGCTCTTCAGTGCATTCGGCAGCATCTTGACTGTGAGATTTCTGAGACGGCTCCTCTGCGCAGGAGCAGACAGCCTCGGCTCTCTCCCACCGCCCAACGCCTCTCACAAGGGCTTCGTATAGATTGCAGGCTCAATAAATAGATGGTAAAAAAATAAAATAAAACGAGGCGAAGAGTGCATTACGTTTGTGGCCCATCTTCTGCGCTTGTGTTGGCCTGTGTCAGTGCGGCATCCCTCAAATACAGGGCACCGCAGGGGCAGCAATCCCCCTCTCCTTCCTCCCACCAGGTGCTGATAGTTCCAGTTTGTGTCCGCTTGGCCAGGATTCTGCCTGATTGGGCAGAGTCCCCCCCACCCCCACACCCCCACCGGGTGCAGGTCACAGCCTGATGATGTTTCCTGGGGAGTGTGGCTCCTTGACAAGAAACCCCATGGAGGACTGGTCTCTCTCTTGTCCCCATTTCTTCCTGCTTACTTGGATCCTGCATCTGGGCTCTGGGGCAGTGGCCCACGTAACCTGCCGACCCTGGAAGCTGCCAGCGGTGGGCGATGCTCCTGCCAACCATGGATCCATGTGATCTTGTCTTTGTACCTACTTGCCTGAGATTCCCTCAGGGTCCCTCTGCGCCTTGCTGTTTCATGGGTTGGCAGCCGAGGGAGTCTGGAGGCCCCCCCCCCCACTGGCTAGCATCTGACCTACGGACTTGAGCTGGACTTCTTCCTTCTTTCTTGATACAAAGGTCTTTCTTAAACCTATGCATGTCACTGGTCTTGTTCCACGAGGAATGGCTGTCCGTCTGCCTGTACACGGCGGTGGTGGTGCATTGCTGGAAGCTGTGCCGCTAGTATGTTAACCACCCGCAGAGTCACCCATGTCAGACAGGTTTCAGTGGCATTTCCAGACAAAGACAGGTCTGCTTTTGAAAACCAGCCAGTGCAAACCATATGGATCACAGCTGGGTGCTTTGGCCATGCCCACCAGGAGGGGTCAATAGGCAGAAGAGGACGTGGTTTGGTGACGTAGACCACAGGTGAGAGAGACTGGGAGGATGGCACAGGATTGGGCAGCATGGGTTCTGTTGTACATCGGGTCATAGTGAGCCAAAGACAATTTGATGGCAACTGTCTCTCTAGACAAGCTCCATGCTTGATGCTAAGGATACAGCAAGAGATGGCAGCCCCATGGCTCTGGCAGCATCTTGGGCATGCCAGTGAATTGTGAGGAAGGTGATGGGGGCAAAGCACCTGCTGGCTGAGTGACTTGAACCCAAGTATTCTTTCTAAGTCTGGGCCAGTTTCCTCGTTTCCGAAGTAGGGGAGTGATGGGACATGCGTCATCAGGGTGCTGGAAGGTCAAGGAGAACAAGTCCATGGAGGCCATGAGCTCAGTGCAGGAGAGTCGGGGAGCTCGGGTCCATGGTTGTTACCAAGAAGGAGCCCTGGGGTGCGGTGGTCCATTGCTCGGCTGCTCACGGAGACGTCCCCAGTTGGAGCCCACCGGCTGCTCCGGGGGTGAAAGACGTGTTATCTACTTCTGTAAAGATTGCTAGCCTTGGAAACCGTCTGGGGCTGTTCTCCTCTGTCCAGCATGGGCACCTGAATGGGGTTTGTGTTGCAGCTGACAGGGCTTCGGTGGGAGGTGAGGGGCAGGCATAGGGAACCAGCCATGAGATTTTGTTGTTTGAAACTGTGAAGAATTTCAAGGCAGCGGAGCATTCAATAAAGCAAGCACAGGGACCTCTAAGTGAAGCCTGTGCGTCCCTGCTGCCTGGGGAAGAGCCGGGAGTCAGGTTGGGGACACACTCTCTTATCACATGTGCACACACACTCACATGCATCCACACATGGGGGCACACACATGCATATGTGCAGGCTCACACTCGGGCACACACATGCATGTGTGCACGCACTCTTACACACACACCCTCGCACAGACACACACACGCCTGTGGTGGGGCCATGCTACTTGTCCTCAGGAAGCCACGCTCTAGCTACAAGCCTCTCTGAGCCCTCCGCGGCGGCACGCACCTCACAGGGCCTGGGCTGAGGGCGCAGGAGGAAGTGTTCTCCCCCCCCCACCACCACCTTTTTCTGGAACCCAGCTTGGCCACAAGTGGGAGGGCTGTGGGGTCCTTAGGAGTGTGAACTGACACCACAGTCATGGGTGCCCTCTAGTGGTTAAATGACAGCCTCGTCACCACCCCAGATATGCCACTGCTGGCCAGGAGGGCCCAGTGTTGAGCCTGGGCAGGACTGGGCCCTGTACATGGTGGTGTGGGCTGGGTGTGCTGTGGAACGGAGAGGTGTGTTTGTGGCATGGCGTGGTGTGATGTGGTGAGTTTGTGATGTAGTATGGAGTGGAGTGGGTTGGGTGGGATAGTGTGGAGTTGGGTGGGGTGGGTTGATGTGTCCGTAGTGCTTTTTTCTTTGCATTACGCGCTTCCGTTAGCCTCTTGATCTGCCGATACAAAGCGCGATTGAATATCACAGACAATCCTACTTGCCATCCTTTGTCACGTGAATGTTTTGAGTCCAACAATGGCACGGGGTGGGGGTATGAAGGTGCAGGCCCACGGCCTTCCTGACATCCGTCTCCAGACCCTGGAGAAATACCAGGTGCAGGTGTGTTTCAGGATCACCTAGCAGGTAGTAGTGAGGTAAAATGATCAAGTCCCAACGATTTCCTGATTTCCTTGCACGAGCTCATAAATATCCTCGCACTAAGGTCATGCCCATGGACGTCATTAGGCGATCGATCAAGGCAGGTTGCGTCCATGGGAGTGTCTGCAGCCAAAAGGAAGACCAGAATGACGACGTAACCCAGCCCGCCACCTTCGAGCCAATGCCAACTCTGAGCCTCCCCACAGGACAGGGGAGAACCGCTCCCCGGAGCTTCCAAGGCTGCACCTCTTTACGGGAGCAGACAGCCTCATCTCCTTCCCAGTGGCTGGTGGGTTTGAACCAGACACCTTTCCATTGACAGCCCAATGCATAACCCACCCACCCTGCCCCCAGGACTCCTTGGATTGAAGCCGTGGGAACAAGTCCTTTCAATGCTGCAAAGATCGTGATCACTGCCGACCAAAAAGAGGTGGACCCTTCATGTGGGAGATCCTTTTCTTCTGTTTTCAGCCGCACAGAGAAGGTGTGAGTGTGATTGGAGCCCCTGGGTGAGGAAGAGGGCTGACGCTCTCAGTCAGTAAGCAAATGTCGGAGGTTCAAGCCCACACGGAGGGATTTGGGAGAAAGGCCCGGTGATGGCATCTGAAAAACTTGTAAAGCTTGGACAGTTCCAGCTGTCACACAGGAGCGCCATGAGTCAAGACGGCCATTTCAGCGGCTGCCCTTCCCTCCACCAGAGCAAGCCCACGTTCATCAGTTGTCCACCCTGCCCTTCTAAGACATCTTCCTTTGGAGAAGACTTCTGGGGTTGGAAAAAAAAAGTTTAAAGAAACGTCGGGGGGTGGGGGTGGGGGGGCGAAACAGAACCACCGACAAGATGATCTAATGCCCCTTCAGAAGCTCTAAAAGCCTTCCCTTCTCCTCCAGCCTGACCGCTCCCTGGGCAGGCTGGCGGTACATAAGCCACACTGGAGAGACGCATTCACACTGGGCTCCATCCAGCTGCTCTTCTGATGGGTCTTGGGCAGCTGTCCCAGGCCAGAGAAGTCACAAGAAAGCGAAGACGAAACCACGGCATGTCGGATTGCCTCTTAACTGAGGGGGAAAGGTGGCGTTCGAAGCTCTCTCCGAAGGCCTGGGTTCCTGGAAGCTGTTGACACGCTTTTGAAAACCCTGGTCTACGTCACCACACCCTCGGGGTGTCCTGGTGGTTGGCACTTGGTCAGCAGGCTTCTGTTTTGATTCGAGAGAAGGTGGTTCCGAATAAAGGCGTAACATTTTGCCCGCTCTGACCCTAGGCTGAAGCAGGAAGGAAGAACTCAGACAATATGTCAGACAGACTGGGGGATCCTCATGCCCCCCCTCCCCACCCATCTCCCTGTCCTCTAGGTCAGCAGCTTTGAGAAGCTGACGTGACGAGGTCACAGCTGCAGTTGGCCAGGATCCCAGGCTGCTCTACTGATGCCTGGATTTGCAGCGTTCCACAGAGAACACCTGGATCCGAGAGGAAGGCTTTACTCTGGATCCTAGAGAACCCCAGGTGGGGGTAGGGGGTGAAGTGTCTTTATACATAAAGACACCGCAGAATCTCTCTTCTAAATGAGGATATGTTGATATAAAGTTTTAAAATGAACTTTATCCAAAGTATCGGGACTTTGGTTCTTGAGAGAGAAGCTCCCAAGCCCTGGAATTTCCCCAGTGACTCATGTGCTCTTGAAGGAACCTCCAGGCCACACCTGGGAGTTAATGCCGGTGAGGTGACTCAGGTGGGGCTGATCTGG